GTCGAATCCCTTTCACTATGGGTATCGAAGGAGCTCAATGGAAAAGCTGTATTTTCGTGGCGCAGTCCCGATAACAGTTAGGTCCACTTCTTTATGTAGAATGGGTCCACTTCTTGGTCGACGGGAGCTGTTATGATTGCATTCGTTTCGAAACTGTCGAACAATTTTTCACAGTCGACGAAGACTAGGACTGGAGGCAAGTGCTATGGTATTTTACAAAAATGCATAGCCTTTCTCTTTCCAAGAACCGTCCGCCAGTCCTCATAGACATACTAGGTCGGCTGGTCGACACCTTCCTGAATGCAAGGTTCCTACTCAGTGGAAGACCTGCAAGAGCGTGCTAATGTTAAAGAAAGGTGACCTCCGCGATATCGACAACTAATGCACAATCTGCTTACTTTCTGCAGTCTACAAACTTTTCACTCTAGTCATCCTAAACACGATTAACAGAACACCTGGCGAAGGACAGCCATGTGAGCAAGCAGGGTTTTGAAAAGGATTTAGTAAGATGGACCAAATCCACACAATAACAATGCTCACCGAACTATCGCAATAGTGCAAAAGACCGCTCTATCTCACTTTCATCGATTTAAAGAAGGCCTTTGAGTTAACTGAGACAGAAGCAGTCATGGAAACTCTTAATGACAAGGGAGCTACTCAGTATATAAAGATTCTTCGTGAGCTATACAAAGATTTCACAGCCAAGATATCACCATTCTACAACGATATCGGCATCGACGTCAAAAGAGAGGTTAGGAAAGACAATAGCATCCCGCTAAAATTATTTACCGCTACCCTCGAAAACGTAATGCGAACATTGGAGCAGGATCGCATCGGAGTTAAAAATCTTGATACACACTTGACTCTTGAACGGCCCATCTTCAGTGGTTGTGCGGGCCCTAGCATAATCACCATTTTTCGAGATTTGTTGGTGAAGTCACTATGGTTTCCGGGAATCCCGAGGTCAGCTTGGCCAAAGTCTGTCCCAGGTCTTCACTGCAGGCACTTGCAGCTCTTATTGATCAGGGGGGGGGGGATTGCCACCGTGCGACTTTGACACTAGGACGGTGGCGGATCCTAGTATTGGCTTACTCCTAGCTAGGCTTCCTGTTAAAAAAGCCGGACTCTTTCTCAGCTTGAGAGACCCTGCCAGAGAATGAATCTCCCGCTGTACCCCAGCCATGATGAGGCGATAAACCGTTGGGAGGAGTTGAAAATCGGTGGTCGATAATTGCACCATATTCGCTCTTCTGATGATATCGTTCAAAGAACACTAAATATTAGTCAGGCAGAGCGAATGCTTGCCGATTTTGATAAAGTCTGAAGAAAGATTAGTCTTCGATTTAATCTCACAAAAACGATGTTAATGAGGAACGGATCGGTTTCGTACGCCCCATTCACGCTCAATGGAACGAATATCCCCGAATGTTCCAGTTATGTCTATCTGTCGAGAAAGACCAACATGCTGGGAGATTTAGCTCCAGAGTTAGCCAGAAGGAAACGATCGGCTCGGGTGCTTTCAAGAGCATCGAGGACGTAGTGAACAGAACAAAGAACACCCGACTCCATGCCCACGTTTGCGACTCAACTGTACTTTCTGCCTTAAAGTATGTGTCACAAACATGGTTGCTGAGTAAGCAGGTTGGAAGATCACTCAGCATCATTGAACGCGCAGTCGAATGGACGATGCCAAGAGTATCCGGTGTCACACAATTAAGGGAAGGGATCCGAGATTCCGAACTGCGTCAACGATCAAAAATCAAAGATGCCGTTCTATGCGCCAGACAGTCGAAGATAAGGTGGGCCGGACACGTAATGCGTATGAACGGCGACCGATGGACTCTATCCGTTAGTAACTGGATTCCTCGAGGTACTGTAGGAAGACCACCGACCAGATGGTCCGAGTTCTTTACGAAAAACCTAAAAGAAAGATATGAAGCTTAAAGAGTTTCTAGGTCTAGCAAAACCACTGGGCTACTCTTGCACGCGACAGGGAAAAATGGAAGGTTTAGTGGCCCCCGCTCGAATCACTCGACGACCAGCGAGACTACAAGTGATACAGCAGGTGATTCTCTTCCTAATCTAATGACTTTATGAACCACTAGAATGCTGGCGTCAGCACCTTTGGTGATGTGGTATCGCTTGGTTCAACCCTTTCTTGTACAAGTGTGGTATGAGTTAAATGGAAAAGCCTTACTTTTGTACAATTCTTTCTACTTCTGTTCAGCAAACACGAGGTGCTATTTTATTTCTTTATTTGCGTACAAGCTGACGTTTCAGCGGATTTCGTGTTCCTCAGAGCCTGGAAAGGTCAAGTTGACAGCAACCTATTTGGCCAAACACCTCTATAACCAAGCAGAGAGAACGCTAAACCAAAACTTCAATCACATTTACTTTTGTGTTGCAACATAAAGCTTTCAATCAAGAAAAGTGAGGTCCAGGCGTAGTTTATATTTCCAACATATTGCTATAACAATTACAGGTGGTTTTTCTCGAGCGTAGATTTTGGCTTCTGGGTTGGTGATTGCAGAAAGGAAGAGGTTGGTCTAGAACTTTACCTCATCAATTCAATTGCATGGTGAAAAGTTTTAATGGTATCTCCTCAATTTGTCAGGATGTTATACTCGTACAAGTTTCGACGGCCTTCCTTCAGACTGATTCTTTTATAATGCTTCTAACAACTTCTTCTGCCTCCACCGATGAAGATTTTTCTGCAAAGCTCTTCTGCACCTGACATCATTACCCGGATTAAGCGCGCCAGCAGGACCAAGCTTCAGTTTCGTTCTTTTCTCGAGCAACTTTTTAGTGGTTATGGAGTTGCGATCCGATCTGTTTTCTTGATGAACTGATTCGAGTTCGACACAACCTTTTAGCAGTTCGATAAGAAGCTCTACTGTAAATTTAATTCCGACATTTCTAGAGACTATAAAACTTTAGCCTTCAGTTCCATTTTCCTTAATTTGCCATCCAAACTTGGATAGGATTTTATTTAGAATAACTCAAAAGATCGACTTTGTATTGTTTCGAATATTCTCTTGATACATAACTAGACTTTTTCTGTGGAGTCGAAGATACGTATTCTTTTCGAGCTTTCCGATGAATAGAATCGCACAATGAACGCACTAAGAAGATGGTCGCCAGCACCAATACAGAATGTTGACACTACCGATGTGTCAAGTACGCAGAATCTTCTCTTTGTCAGAACGTGGTCGTTCTCCGCATCAGCCACGCCGTTAGGCGACTCCCATGTTCAGTGCCTACTCTCTATGCTCTGGAAAAACAGGTCTTCATGGAATATGCGTACTGCAAACAGGAGTCTCTCAAAAATTCTTCCATTCTTATTTTTTTCCATAACCTAAATTTTCCGATTCTGTAATTGCTCTGGTTCGACTTTTCAATTTTGGCGTTGAAGTCTCCAAGAACGGACTTATAATACGATTTATCATTGAACATAATTCTGTCCAACTGGTAGTAGAACGCATCTAGTTCGTATTTATCAGCTGAACTAGTCGCTAAGCAGCAATCAGTGACAGTGGTCTTCATATAACACGTTAGTTCAAGACAGAGGACGGCTATCTGGGTGGAAAGGAACTCGAACGTTTCGACGATATGGACAATGAAGGGGGACAACGAGGCCCACGCTACCGACTTTTCGTGATAGGACCTTTTCTCCGAGGTTGAGATAGGTCCCATGGTTTATTTGACATATGTTTGTCTTCCAGCCTTTTCTTTCTTATGTTACGATCACAGGAATTTTGATGAGATCTGCAGCCTTAAGAAGGGCGTAAAAATCGGCGTTTGAGGAGGGCGTTTTGGCATTATACGGGCAGAGTAAGAAACAATCACCGCAGCATGTAGCACTCATATTTATCAGACCCGCTTCCGATGACGTGCCGCGTAATCCGAGATTTTGTGGCCTTCGTCTCTCACCAGGCGTCGCACACTCCGATGTCGTGAACGGGAGCACCGAGTTCGCGGGCTACTGAGGCAGGCCTATTGCTGATGAGCAGTTTGATCTTCCCTGGAGTTCTGACTTAATCTTGCAAGAGCGTATTCAAAGCCCCCATCACGATGTGGTCTTGTGGAAAGTATCTTTTCAGCAGCGATTCCTTCGTTCGGTCTTCCTACTAGTTGCTTCGAAGACGATATTAAAACCGAAGTCAGAAACTAAGGTAGGAATGAAATATGACCGACCGCTCTAAGGCGATGTGAAAGCCGAACCGAGTAAAACAATATGATGCATGTAAATCAGGCGATGTCCTTTGCGAAGACGGAAAACAAAGCGAATTACGATGGTAAAAAGGATAAAAAGCCCTCGGCGTCGATCAATTCCAGGGATGCGCCTTGCATTCGACTCCACTCGTAGCACCGTAGAGATGATTGGATTAATATCTGGCTTACACGATGACTTTTAATGGTCTAACGATGTATCAAGCTTGTGTTTTTCAAGTCAAATTGTGTTTTTGTTCTCCGAGACAGGTCTGATGCCAAATCGCCAACAGTGGTGTGATGAAAACTTTGGTGTGCCCGAGGACGCGAGACGAAACCATCAACCGTTCCCTCACTGCGAATGCAAATCACCTAGCTTCACTACACACTCCTTTGCGAAATGGGGAATGTTCTCTAAAACTTGGTCCTTAATATGACCTCTGGGCTAGCCGGTCTAAGACGACCTTGTTGCAAATTTTCCGACTCCGGAGGATTGGGAGGCTCCGTGAACTCAGAGCGAGTCAAAGCAGCGCTTTATTCGTACTGATTGACATCTACTAGTTAGTCTTTTACATAACGGTCTCGTAATCCTTTAATGTATTGAAATTACAACTGCTTACCCACAATAAAATTTTTATTTTTGTAATATTTTAATAGCACAAAGCATCATAAAAGGTTTTTAGAAATCATGTAACATTTTTCTGTATTTTACTAATAGTATGTAATGTCGAAGGTGATTTTCACCAGCAAGATGGGTGAGACGTTATGAAGTACTATAAAAGTGAATATAACTAATTCAATTCCTTTTTGAATTCAGATTTTTCCGACCAGCCATCGTTTCGCGATAATACGGAAAAAGGCACAAATTTCTCAGCTTCTTCTGGTGGCATAAATGCTGCAGTGCCCAAGCGTCCAAATTGAATGGTTCTTTCCTGTAAGACAAAAAACACTTATTAGACTCAACAAAAATCAGTAAAGCAGAGAATAGTTTTCTCTGTGGGTCATATTTAACATACAATGTCTAGAACTCGTTTTTGGACAATTGGTAGTAAATTTCTCAATCACTAGAAAATTGAAAGAGATGGGAAGTCCACCAATGTATAGAAGATGCTTTGCCCTATCCAATTGCTCTGTTTTTCCTTTATTTTTACTTGTTTTTGTTTACCACAGGATCTTCGAACTTTTATTTTACTTTCCACATATACTGTGCAAACTCCAGCTCTTTTTGCATTCAATTCGCCTCCACATCCATCGTCCACAAAGTACTTCGAACTCTGTGTTCGGTTCTGGTTGATAATTGTTATCAACTTTGTGAATCCCTTTGAGTGCTGGTAGAACTAACTCAAGCTGGAGCCCTAGGTTAACCGGAATAGTGCGTCTCCACATTGACTGCAGCAGATGAAATGTTCTGGGACAGGTTTAGAACCAATTTTCCAACCCCTTATCTATAACAACCCTAGTGGTTCTGGTGCACGGTCGCACCCACATCCTGCCCGTGATGAACGCCACCACCACCACTGCACTATCCGCTCCCTGGTTCTTTGTATATAATTTTTATCCAGCAGTACTCCAGTTCTGAGAATGAGTAAAATTCATGTTTCCAAAAAACTGGAAATAAAGCTTAAATTTTCTGAACTCCGAACTCAGGATGACAGCTGAACCACAAATGATGCATTGGTGAATGCCATCGCAACCTCCTCGACGAAATTCAGGTCGCACATCTGTTTTTGTGTTTCAAATACGAGCCTTGACCCAAAAAACTAATAACAACATGTCTTATGGGCTTGAGCGAGTAGCAATTTCACCATGATAGAATATTATTTCATAGGTCATTATTGTCCTACCTAAACCCATTTTATTCGTTACATCTCTGGCGTTGTACGTTAAACAAGATTATATACTTAAACATTTATATACACAACACACACACCAGGAATACCCGCCCAAATAGGTTAAATTGCAAAGGAATAATAGATTCTAACCGCAAAATTCAATACTGCTTGATATTTGGTGAATACATCGACACCAATAATAACATCCGCACTACAAATGTCGGATGATAAAACGTCAAATGAGCAGAGAATGCTAATAGAAGTGAACTGCACGGTGCCTGAACGACGAATTGACTCCTTTCGCTATCTTCGTCTATAGAGTTACAAAGTGTTTGAAAAGAAATGGAAAAAACCGTAGCGTATACTGCTCTAACTCTTATTATTGCCCTTTCTTTGTGGAAGCTATTATGTGAAATACAACCACAAGCATGCTGTTATCATGAAAACAACACGGAAGCCATGGTGAGCTTCGAGCCCGTGATTACCATTTCTGGATGCTCACGTGTTATCCACTGCACCAATCGACCTATGCCTTGCGTTCTTCCCGCGGTTTTTAAAATTTTGCTCTAATGTACTATACGCAATCATGCATCAGCGGAAATGGTCTGGGGAGCATTAAATCTGTACTGAACTCATTTCAGTTAAAGCTGGAGTTGAAATTACATTAAGTGGATTCAATGTCGATTTCTGCTCCCGAGATCATTCACGTTGACGGGTGATTGCTTGTAGTACCGTTAAGGCAAATCACTCGCCTGGAAGAAAGTCAAAGCAAGAGCCTCGATTACTGCTGTGGATAACACGTGAGCCCCTCGAAACGATAATCGCAGTCTCGTATCTGGCCTTGATTCTGAGGTTTGCAAATGTCTCAGCATTCTTGTGGTCGTGACTGCTATACTGTTACACTGTACATTATACATTGACTATGTTTTTTTCCTGCTTTTTCTTTTCGACAACTAAATCAATTAATTGACTGACATGCGAGAATTCTTCCGGCAGACGAACGCATGCCACCGACACCGCTGGCCGTCACACGGAATCGCCGATCGACAGCATCCGTCATCTTGCACTTCTCCACTGCTGTCGCCGAAATGATCGACATCTGAGCACCTGAACTACAGTGGGCATTACTGAGAAGTCAAAAACCCATCTAAGCGATCTACCATCATTGATGACTGACGGCGATTATTTTGAGGTGAATCTCCGGATCCTAACGCACGAAACATCAATCATCAACTCTTGAGGCGTTTTGGATAAAATTCAAAAGTACAAAGATGAATCGGAAAGATGGGAGCCTCCATATCACAGATAACTTAGCGCCATTTTTCTTGATATTTTGAACTAGGTGGGTGTCACACGTCATCTCATGTGAGAAACACACGGGTGGTCCCAAGAGCAACAGCACGGTGAGTATAAATGCATCGTTTTCTTGTTCAGCATTCGCGAGGTTGTTAAACAGCATACATTTACTTCCATAGAAAAACACAATAAAATACAACGCTTGCTGACGTTTCGGCAGTATCGCCTTCTTCAGAGCCTGGAAGGGTATACTGATATACAATCTACTAGGCCAAACGCTTCAATGACACTTACAAAAAGACGAAAAACTCTTTGGTAATAACGTGATCAACAGCTTCTCGAAAAACTCACCGCTTTTTACGTGACTTCTACGACTTCTACTGAAGAAGGTTAGAACAGCTGATTATAGTCGCATATGGTTGGTGACTGCACCACCCCACATCAAAAACCGATGCGAACATACGGGATCAGGTCGCGTATGACCTCCGGGTATTCGTCCCTGTTTGTAGGGTTTTTGGCATTTATCCAAAAAGCCTCAAGGAGTTTTCGCGCCGGTGTTTTGGACTCCTGTGCGAGGATATTGATTTTTACTTCAAAATCGTCTCCGCTATGCTTTTGTATCCAGTACGTGCCTAGTGGGGTGCTTCGTCTTAGTTTTCGTTTGTCATCTAGGCGTTCTTTTATACGGATACACAAAGGTCTGCCCGTTTCGCCAATATATTCATCTCCGCAGTTATTACAAGAGATTAGGTATATCGTTCCTGAACTCATGCAATCACCGTCGCTCCCGTAAGGGCAAATTACGCAGTTTGTTGTTTCACATAGACGGTCATACAGGCGGTTACGAACTAATTGACGACGTAGAGTAGCTGGTGGTATTTCAACTATCGCTACCGATTCCTCTAGATCTGCCCTTCTTAAGCATCGTTTTATAGCTACGCTTACTTCATCGCTTATAAAAGGCAACATAAACGGGATTTTCTTTTGGCCAAGGGTTTCGCGTGGGCGCGTCGTTCTCCTTATAAACTTATCTCGTGGGGTTACTATTTCGTAGCCATTGGAGATGGCTATTTGCCGAGCCAAGTCAGGCGATTCTTCCTTTAGTTCCCTGGTAGTGCACACAGAGGTGGATGTTTGAAACATGTTTCTCACAATAGCCCTCTTTATGTGCCAAGGGTGGGAAGAAAGGAAATGAACTAGGATGTTTTTATTGCTTGGCTTTCGGTACCATATCGGTGCTTGGTGCTTGGTTTAAAATAACCTTAACCTTTTTAAAAACTAAAATAAACCTATCAAGTAGCGGTTACTTGACAAAGTGGTCTCGATAGAAGATTTGCTCACGCAAACAAGATTGATAAGGTATGACGTCGTCGGCCAGGCCGAGACGAAAAGACGCCACCCATTTGACGCCGTCTATGATACCGAGGAAGAACAGTTCCTCGGAACATGTGACAGTAGAGGAGTCGGTGGCGTAGGAGCACTCGTCAACACAAGTTTGTCCATTAACATCGATTCATTCGAACAGCTTAGAACCCGAATCGGACGTTTACGATTAAAAAGATGTGGATCAATACTGGCTTCGACAGTCTTCGTCGTTTACGCGCCGCCATCAAACCATGACGAAGAAGAAGTTGAAGCGTTCTATATGGACTTGGAGGTTCTACAGAGAAGGCCATACATTCATCAAGGTCATCATTGAAGGTTTCAACGCTAGGATAAGGCCTAGAAGAACGTCTGAAGAATGTTACATTGGGATCCATGGATAAGAATGGAACGAACAGGGTGAGCGGCTGTCTCAGTTTATCATGGCCACCAAGACCGTTCATGGTAACTCGCAATTCCAGAAGCCCCACCCTTAACGCTGGTTGTGGGAATTTCCCAGTGGAGACTACCATAACGAAATAGACCGCATCATAGTAAATAGAAGGTTTTGCTTAACTGATGTCGGTGTTATCCCAAAATTCTACACGAGATCAGACCACCGTCTCCTTCATGCAGGATTCTATTTCTCGCAGAAAGGAGAAAAGCCGCTGAATTCAAAAACCGAAGTCCGAAAACCACTATGAATTGCCGCTTATTCAATTCATTAGTCGGCTGTCGGGAAGATGCCGTTGTCGATAACATCGACGAAGAATACGATCGGTTCAACATCTTTACGTTAGCGCTATGAAAGTTGAGAGTTCGAAAGTCACCAAGAGACGTCTGTCTCCAACACTCCAGCTGATACGCCAGCAAGGAATCGTAGGAACTGCAGGCAACGGCGACATAACGTCCGAACCTGCAAAACAATGCAGATAGGTCATAAAAGATCTTAAAGGGAAAAGAGCAGCAGTTATTATTGAAGCTGCAGAGGGTGGGAATAGCATTCGCAAAGCCCACAGAGGCTTTGCCAATTACAGGGCAAAGATGATTGCACTCCAACGACCAGACGGAACAGTTACCGTGTCCAGAAAGGCGGAGTAGAAAATCATTCACGGTTACTACTCAGATTTCTTCGATAGCCACGTCCACCTTCCGTCATATGAAATAAAGGACGATGGATATGTTGTACCACCAGTTCTCCCTTCCGAAATCCGGCATGCCATTTCGTCGGTGAAAAATCGAGCAGCACCAGGTCCGGACAGGATAAGACCAGAACACCTGAAGAACCTTTCGCCAGTCCTCGTAAACACACTGGCTCGGCTCCTCACACGTTAGCTGTCTGAATGCAAGGTCCTTACTCAGTCCCTACTGAACAGTTGTATCTATCTAGGTCGGGAAATCAATATGATGAACGACCTAACTCAAGAGTTGACCAGAAGGAAATGAGTGGCTTGGATACATCGAGGATATAGTTAGAAGAAAAAAAACATCTGACTCCGCGCTCACCTTTTCCACTCAACGGTAATTCTTGCATAAATGTATGCGTTTGAAATCTGGTCGCTCCGTAAGAAAAATAAAAGATCACTCAGCGTTACTGAACGGGCAGTTGAACGGACGATCCTAGGAGTTTCCCGTGTCGCACGAGTAATGGAAATGAACAGAAGCTCCGACCTGCGCTAACGCTCAAAAATTAAAGGTGCCGCTAAACAGTCGAAGACAAGGGGGGCTAGATACGTAATGCATACGATCGACAGCCGTTGGACAAGAGCCGTTAGTGACTGGATTCCTCGGGGTGTTAAACGCACTGCAGGAAGACCACCGACGCGACGGCCAGAGTTCTTCACGAAAAGCCTAGAAGAAAGATATGATGCTCAACGAGTTACTGGAGCGAGCAGAATCCACCAGGCTACTCTTGCACGCGACAGGAAAAAATGGAAGATTTAGCGGTGCCCGCTCTATTTACTCGAAGATCAACGAGCCTACAGGTGAAACAGGTGAAGCGCTGTACTAAATCGACGTTGTTCATTCGATGTTTCGTAAGGTGTCATGTTCGATATCAAGTTCGTGAAAAAAATGCATTCAAATAGTCGAATAATCTCACTGTAGTGGCCAAATGCAATTTACAGCTGGAGATTCAGCCACACATTTTTTGAGATATTGATTTAAATCTATTAAATCTCTTGGGATTTAACTGTGCACATGTCGACTGCTACAGGTTCTCAGAACAGCCTAAGTTAGAAGCCAAAGGCTCTAGATTGTTCCTTTTTTCTTCTGCTATTCTATTTTACTTTGGTTGCATAATTCTATCAGAAACTTTAGCTAAAACTAAAGCGACCACCATCGTTCTGAATGATACCTAATCAGAGCTCTGAAGAAGGCGATACTGCCGAAACGTCAGCTAGCGTTGTATTGTATTGTGTTTTTATGGAAGTAAATGTATGCTGTTTAAAAGCTTCGCGATTGCTGAACAAGAAAACGACACATTCATATTCCAATGCCGAGGTTAAGAGAAAGTCGATCCTGGGAACTATTCTTTTATTGTCTATACGACTTGCACAGCTGGGTTAGGAGCACAAGAATGTTGTCGAACCTGTGTCCAGAAGCGCCAGTACATCAACGCCGTTGATTTGTGCACGTAAATAAATCATCGGCACTTTCGTAAAACATTCTGGGAATTGTAGCATCGCCTTGTAGAGACGTCTGAAATTCGGTAATTGCAACTAATGAATTGATACCAAGAAGCTGTCTAATCGACAGCGTGTTTCAGAAAAGAAAACCCTGAAGACTACAGATTGAAACGTTTCGGTGTGATTTAACTGTTTGAGCGACAGATTTCCTTCTGCTTTTCCTTGTAGAGTGATTTTCTTTAGTCTTTCCTCTCGAAATTTCATTATGAAAGCACCTGAACAGTTAATTCAAAGCTCGATGATTTCTTTAACAGAAAGTTGAGGATGATCTGTTCTACTGAATAGGCATTAGACTTCTGGCATGACGGGTTTTAATGATAACGCAATAATCAATGAAGAAACCATGTTATCGTAGTAATCTGCTTCCAAAAAATAACAGATAATAAAACTGAATGGAATTTTTTCTCACCTTTTCAAGTTTTTTGAGGTCAATAAACAAACACTAATATAACTACTATAATGTTGAGATAACTCGAAAGACCAACTTTCTATAAACCTCGGCATAGATAGTTTATATATTTATTTATGTGATCTTATAAACTGATCTTCTTAAGCTGACGCGAGGTTGGTACAGATCTTCGTTGTCGTCGTCGGTGTTTTTGATATTATTGATCGATGGCAGACGTTTCGGCGACTTCGCCTTCCTCAGAGCCGTAATGTTACGTGCGGGTCCCAAAAGCAACGACAACGACAACGAAGATCTGTACCAACCTCGCGTCAGCTTAAGAAGATCAGTTTATAAGATCACTTAAATAAATGTTGAGATATTTGCAAAACTCCGGACCGCAGGTGTCTGCAGTGGGGAACGAACGCGCTATTGTTCCTTCCGGGAGTAAGGCGTTCCCCACCACACCATGCTGTATTCATATTTCGCAACATACCCTTTTGTTAGAAAGAATAGGCAGTAAATAAAAATGTTAATATTGTGATTAAAACTATAGCCTCAGCTTAACTGGGTTCAATGCCGATTTAAGCTCACCAGATCAATCCCGCTAACGGGGATTGCTGATGACAGAGATCGATAGAACTACCTGAGAGACAGGCGAAACGAAGGATCCGCATGATGTGGTGGTGAACGCGCTACTCCCCGGAAAGGACAATACCGCGTTCGTTCCCCACCGTAGATACCTGCGGTCTGGAGTTTCGCAAATATCCCAGCATTATAGCAGTTATATTTCGCAACATACCCTGCTGTTAAAAGGAATAGGCAGTAAATAAAAAGGTTGAAACACTAATAGGTTAAAATTCTAGACTGGTTTCAGTGTTTTTCGAAGTATGGTGACCCTTCAGGCTTAATTCAGTGGCCATTTTAACAAAACGCCGAGGCGTAATGAAGACGGTCGAAAGCTTTCGGACTCTATGAATTACAATCAAAGTAGCAGACCATTCCAGTAATGTTGATCGACGCTAGAAACATAAAAAGTATAAACTTTTTTTAGCTATTTTATAGCCTAATAAGATAAAAAATTCCAAGTCACCTTTTATCGCAGCTGTCACAAGCGGAAGATAATATGAACACAGCTGGGTACCACACCAGTTAATAAATATTGACCATTAACAAGATTAGATGAAGCTCAAAAGACCGATTTTTTATAAACCTCGGTATAAATAGCTGATATAATTACTAATATGCTCTTATGAACTGCTCTTGTTGAGCTGATGCGAGCTTGGTATAAGTTGACGTTGTCGTTGTCGTTTTAATACTATAGATATTTCACTGAATATAAGGCTACTGTTTGATAAAATATGTCCAGGCACTGAGGGAGGCGAAATCGCTGAAACGTCAGGCTTCGACCTACACACCTAAGCAACACCAAGAGCAACAACAACATGAACAACAACGACAACGTAAACTTATGCTAACCTTGCATCAGATCAACAGATCAGTTTATAAAAACATAAATTAAATAGAATTATTGAATCCAAATGTTACAATAATTTATCAAATATCACGCAGCCGTTTGTCGATTAAAAACGAGTCGCACCAGAACTCTGGTCGGTCTTATGACGTTAGGGCTATCATGACCATAACAAACTAGTCAACTATTTGTGAATCTCGTTCCGTTTTTTGAATGAGGTCTTTCATAAGTTACGAAAAATAGGCTCAAAGAATGATACCTTTAATTCTTTATTGGTAGAAAAGAATGCAACTGTAAGTTTACAGTAAGATTTCGTATGAAATTTTCCCTTTAGTAAGATCTACGTTTGTTTGGTTGAAAATTATGTTAAATCGACAATTTAATCACGATGTATCCGCTTTTTATTTGTTCCCTATTATTTTTTTATGGCAGTGTATTATGCGAAATGCAACCATAGTGGCGTTGAGTTATTTGCAAAACTCCGGACCGCAGGTATCTGCGTTGAGAATAGTACACGCTATTACCCATTCCGAGAGCATCACACTGTGCTGGTCCTGCTTTTCGTCTTTCTCTCAGCCGTGTTTTATAATGACGAAACCTAAGTCGTTTGAATCCTTGTCGTAGGCGTCCAGCACTGTTGGATGATATCTATGCAACCACTGACGAATTTTCGGCTCTTTCATTTGGGCATATACCTGAAGAAAATGTCATGCACTCACTGCAACAATTTACAGTCGATCGACTAGTCGAAGGAGTTGGTGAAACCCAGAATGAGTTCCTATTCCTGATGAGTTGATTACTTTCTCCTCGATACATAAGGAGCAACTAGTATGTGCAGTGAAGCTGTAGCAGCGTAGTAGTACATCTGTACCAGGATCAAGTCATCATTCAGTGTGTCAATGAGAAGAGAATACAGCAGATTTTCTAACCGTGAAGGAAGCTTCCACTCATAAGATTTGTTTAATAGAAACGTCTCTTTTTAAGTGGCTCTTCAGTTCAACCTTGATGATGAACATTTTAGACAAAGAATTTGATCAGCAAACAAATCGTCAAACGTGTACTCATTATGGCCTAGTGTACTCTTAATTCGACACCTACTCGATCAACGGCTTTAAATTGTAGTCAGTTATAAATGAAGTATGCCCCAAGCATAAAGCATGACGATCAACCATTCTTCTACAGCTGACAAGCAAAGGTTTTGATGCTTTATGAAAATGTAACCCTAATTTTTCAGCTAAATCGCTTTCGTAGAAACTGTTCTCCTTTGTTCTGCAGTCCAAAGCTTTGAACAATTTCACTACTATGCTTTTCTACTAGATTCTCAATGAAGCATTCTGATTGAACTTCTTGTTCTCATATGGGTGTTTTTCTGTGTGGTAAAGCAGTTAGGGTTTCATCGTTTCTCAAAACAGCTACATGACAACTGGTCTCTTCTACAATGTGCTAAGACTTATGCTCACAGAATCCATTAGACAACGATTATGAGTCAACTGAGCATGTGCCTCGCTTCAATGTTTTTTGACGGCTTCGTCTATTCAACACTCTTCCTCTGTTTTGCCGTAATTATGCAATTCTGCGCACTTTTACGTAACACGGCAACCAACATCACAAAGAAGCAACTACTGTGGGCACGACTCAAATTCCTGTGATTCTGGTGAATACGATACCGCAGAAATGTTAGCAGATCTATAACAAACTCGTGCAAGCTTATCAATAAGCCAAGATGTCTACGTAATTGATTGAGACTGTGTTTCGAGAAAAACTGAACCCATAGAAATCTAAAGCTTTTTTCTGAACCGTGCCTTTCGTCAACACTTTTTCGACAATATTAGCCACATATAGCTCAATGTAGCACAGGAGTGAAGGGTAGCCTCAGCCCCAAACACGTAGTGCTTGTTAGACACAAGTTTTACCAGAAGAAGCATCATTGATGTCCAATCACTTTTAAGTTCTTCTCAAGATCTATCTGGTTTTTTCATGAAACGATCTGTTCTTCACGCGCCAATGTGTACTCTAATCCACTTACGACTGATCGAAGCAAAAAAACAAAAACGACGGAAAAACTGGAGCTGGAACGTTGGTATAGGTTGACTGCAAATAGACAGTAATATAAGGCTTAACTTTAGAAAGTATCTGAAAAGGGCAAAGCAGAAAGGCATTGCAGTTTTCACACTTTTAATAATTTCTTGGCCTTATTTCTTCCCTAAAGTACCCAAAAATCGTTCTGTTGGTCCCTTCCACCATTGTGAACATTGGCAATAGCCGGATACGCTTGCTTGTAGTTCATGTCTATAGCTACTACTTAAAGTTATTTTAATCGAAATAAACAACTACTGTGGACGTCTGAATCACTGTGGCTCCGATGAAGGTGCCGAGAAGTTACCTGTAATAAAAAGTTTTTGCAATAACCTCGTGTTACCTTATGAATACAAAAAATACTAACGGTAATGCATTAATTAATTCGAAAAAATGCAGAAAAAAACGTCTTCTAGTTTATGCCCTAGTAAATCGGGAAAGTAGATGGAAGAAAAAAATTTCGAAATAAACCTGTTTAGCGCGACATGCTAGCTCTATTTCTTGACTCATAACAGTCTTATTTCGTGAAATTCGAATGCTTTTTATGAGATTCTGGAGAAGCTGCTGATCTAAAGTTTGCAAACCTTTAGATATTTGGCACAATACGGTTGGGAAATAAAAGAATAGAGGGTAGGCATTAATTAATACTTAAAAGATGCGTCATGCATTCTATCCCATCCTTAGTATCTTAGAGTGATCGAATTCGTATCACTGGCTCTGTAATGACCTGCGGCGACCCACTGATATCTTAGCTCAATAGAATTGCCGGATAATTTTTCGACTCTATAGATCTCTTGTCTCAATGGGAACCGGAGTGCGCAACCAACCTCATGTTAACACATGAAATTTGTGATAGTAAAATAAGTTGAGAAATAAGAGAGAAAGACACAGCAAAGGCCACTGTGCTGAAGTGGTTGCCATGTGAGTCCATGGAAAGGGTAATCGCGATTTTAAAACTAGCGTGTGGTTCCAAGTTTTTCAATTATCACAGAATCATTGTGGTTGCATGTCAGACAATACTTTGCAATGAGAAAAAAGGCGGCAAATAAAAATTCAAACATTGTAACGTTATCTTTAACTTCATATGAAGAATTTTACATACTTGGATACGTGGATGGCCCGTCCTCACTAGTTGTGCGCAGCCCAGCATAATTTACATTTGCTTTTTAGCCATTGGAGCCATATTTTAATCACCCAGTCCTGGAGTATACTGAGGCCATCCTAGCTGAGTCCTTCTCCAGGTCTTTACCACCCTAGGCAATCGCGGCC